GATAATTAGATCAGTCAGAAGTTTCTTCTCTCCTACAATGCCTTCCAGGAATATTTCTACTTCCCACTAACATGTCCTTGCAAATACATCGCCAGGGCTCCTATCAGGGCCTTGTATAAGTGAAGGGCCTCAAGGTAAGCTTCATTGGCTCCGCAGGGGAGGGGAAATATCTTTTTTCTCTACCCTTTGAAGCTCTTGGCTGTGGCCCTGTAACAAATGACAACACTATAAGGCATCGTGAAATTTTATTATAAGATTGAGTATCATAGTACCTGGCACTGGATTGAGAGTAATAAAGAAGAAACATGGTTAAACAAGGTTTGAGATGTACAGAACCAGAAATGAGTCTGTAGAAAATTTTTCCAATTAAAAGACATGTAAAAACTTAAAATACACCACTTATAAAGTTAATTCATATATCAGGACCCACAAAATGGATGCTGCCACATCACAAATCTAAAACTAAGTCAGCCTGCACTTAAAGGAAATGCCGCACTGTAAAGGAAATCTAACACAAATCCAAATCTTCCAACTCAGCTTTCGCTAGCTTACATTACCCTAGAAAATAGAACCCACTAGCTTTATAAGGAAATCACTGACCTCGTCACCAATCATGCCCTGTTTCCATGCTGCCTCTTCCAATATTCTATAAAACCTGTTCTTGTCCAAAACCCCTCAGGAAGCATGCCCTACTGCTTGTGAGGCACTGTACTTCCCCAAACCACAGATCGTTTTCCCTTAAATAAAGGACATCAAACTAAATTGTGTAATTTTTGTCACTTCATATCTCTATAGGGAAGACATCAACAAACAACTACTTAATGAGGATTGTCAATTAAAATTCGAAAGTATTTTAGGTTTACTCGTCGAACAAGAAAAACTTCAAGTGCCTTGCAATCTTAGTTTATATATTAAAGAAACTTGGAAGACATTTTTTCAAATGTAACAACAAACCTAAATTTTACATGACACGAACAATAATGTTGTACGGTGAAATAGGAAGAAGCAGGATTTGGGAAAGATTATCAGGTTTTGGCTCAAGGTAAATCATCGTTAACTGACATTAGGAATCTAGAGGAAGAGTCAGGGTGGTAATAAGTCTTGATTTGTACGACTTGAGTTTCAGATACAAAGGATGCATCTAACTACGACTCAGTAGAGAGATTTAGGGTTAGAAACATAGATCTGGAAATTACCAAAATATAAATAGAAGCTGAGAATAGATGAGATAACCCTGGAAGACAGAGAGGAATGATGGAGTATGACACTGCGGAAAGAGTAACAGTTATACAGCTGGAGGAAGAAGAGCCTTTAAAAATGACAAGAACTGGTCAAAAAGGCCAGAAGAAAACTAAAAGAGTCTGGTGTCCCTGAAACCATGGAAAAAGTGAGTATTAAGGTAGTAGTCAACAGTGCAAGAGACTTCAGGCAGGCCAAATTATAAGAACTGAAAAGTAATCACTGGGTTGGCAACTTAGTCAGCTATGACCCTGGTGATAACAGCTGCAGTTGAATGGCAAGACTGGAAGCTAACAGTGCACTGAGGAGTAAATAACTTATAAACTTCACAAAATACCTACCCTAGTCACCTAGAAAACTAATCTGTAAAACACAAATTGCCAGGAAAGAGTTTTCTACTACTTCCTTTAACTGAGTTCTCCTGGAGCGTCCAGGAAAATCAGTCCAGGAGAGGAGGCCAGACCGCTTTGCATCTCACTGGCCAGGTCAGAGGCTCCACCCACCCTCTCCTCTTCTTTCCAACCCCATGGTTTCTTTAAGCAAGTAAACTGCAGCGGTTTCTTTCTACTCCCCTTACGCCTCTAATCATACAACCTAGTCAAATGCAAATGAAAACCCAAATGGAGAAGGGAGAAACAAGAGGGTGTCTGGGTGAAGAACAGGCAGGTGAAGGCATCTGAAAGAAGGAAGGTGTTGCAATTACCAATATAAGCATACTGGCGGGGAGAGTAAATCCAGGGTTTTTAAATTTGAGCCCAATTCTATAAACAAAATTAACCAGACACCTAATTTACCCTTACGTGACAAAATTTTACTGTCATAAAGCCTACTCTCAGAAAAAAAACAATTAAAAGCACTCCTAAATTCACTGCATTGAGTTTCAAGTATACACAATTTAGAAGTGAAATTTATTTTGTGGAGAAGGAATGGTTCAACTTCTAACATTTTCTAATACTTATGTATAACAGAATAAAGTACACCTTTCCCAGCAAGAGATGAATTTCAGGCAGAACATGAAATATTCAAGGTGGACAATGACACTACTAATAAATAGAACTATCAGGTCCAACTGCTTTAAGAAAATATCTGGTGTAACCACTTTTTAAAAAACTTCTATTCATCTTTAGAGCCCTAAGTTATCTATATGTTCCTACTGAATAAATCATGAAGAAACTATGGATAGAGAGGTAAGAATAAAATCATTTTACCTGACATTTTCTAGTGATACCAAAGTGCGGGCAATAATGACATATGACATCAATATTAAATCATCCCCTTGGTCTGCTGATGCTCAGTTGTACAGAAATATAATTACATTACAAAAAAGGAAAAGGTAAACACTATCGAACCCTTAGAAAGCTTCGTCTTAATTTCAAAAAGCTGTTTGTTATTAAGAAAATCGTATAAAATCCTCCAAGGTGCCAGTAAGTGTTTTTGTCATCCTTTTTTATTTCTTAAATAACTGGTTAGAAAACTAGACCGTTAGTCCTTGATAACAAACACTGACCCTGCTTTGTGCAGACTAAAAAGTGCTTTAATTCCAAGAGCTAACAGGAGAAGAATAATTATTGCTTAGAGAAGCTAAACCATGCTCTATCAATCACACTAAACAGTGAAATTGAAAAAAAAAGCCACTTTGGACACTGAACTCTGAGTTTATGTATAATAAAATCCCACTATAGTAGTAATTTCTTCATGTAAAAGAATTTTTACAGTATTTTAAGGTACATCTTTCATGTGATTCTTGCAAATAAGTAGTTGGAAAGGCAGGCCATTATTACCTCTCACGTGTAGGAATTTCAGTAAACTGAAACTTCCTAGAGCACCAAGGGCCAAGTTCTCACTGCCTCTTGGAACAAAAGCATCCTATGGTAACCACACACGTGAGAACATGGCAGAAGTCTAGGACATGAGCGAGAGAAGTTCTTCACAATGGATTTCACTCCAGGCTGGTAACATATGGCTAAATTAATAAACAGACCCAATTGAGTATAATATATAATTGCCTTATAAGGTATAAAAATTCCCACATCTAAAAGCTCTCCTAACAACCTACACTGTCCTACACTCAGTACATAGGAGGAAACTTCAGAGACCATAAATGGCGTGCATGTGGTCACTTGATTAGTTAGTAGCAGAGCAGAGAATAGAACTCAGTGCTTGACTTCCCCAGTTCCGAGCCATTATTACTCAAACAGAAGATAGCAGAGTAACAAAGAACTATCCAAAAAGCCAAAAATACAATGGGGGCACACATCTATGTATCTGAGGACAGAAAGCAAGATCTGTTTCTAAATTGTATTCTTCAAGGTACTAAAAAAAGTATGCCTGGAGAGCCCTGAACCAGCAAAAGGAATGGCAGCTCTCTAACCATAGTGCACGTACAGTCATGCAGGCATAGAAAGTCTAACAATTTTGAGGAAAAACAAAGCAATAAAGCATCAATGTTAATACAGAGCCTACAATAATAACAAAGGTCTAAAAATCCTGAATAAGATTTTTGCAAGGTTATTAACTAAGACAAACCATTAGAAAAATCTATGTGGTCAAATTAATTTAATTTAAAGAAAGTCTTTGACCAAAATGGCAACTTCAAGAAAGACAAGCCCCAAAGCTTAAAAAATAAACAGGACTGACCTTTAGAATAAACATTGCCTTGAATTCTACAATAAAGGGTAGCACCTCATTAGATGAATAGTCTTCACACTGCTTTCAAAAATACAGCTATTAAGCTTTCATGAAATCGAATGCTCTATAACTCAACACATTAAATGTAGAGTGCAATGTTTCACAACAACAGGAATATGGAATGACACAGACATTAGTTATCTTACCTACACAATCCTTAGCAATCAAAAAATTAAGTTATTTTAATTTATTAAAATTTGACCTATAGCTCTCTCCTTATCACGATCGTTTAATGGTTCTTAGTATCCAGTTTTCTCACCAAAAAATAAAACCATCAAGTTTCCCTATAATGCCGACTTTCTAAAATACGAAGAATATAATCTCATTGCTAATAACAGCAGCCACCATTTATTGAGTGCCTCCCATGTGCCACAACCTGTGCCACTAGTTTTCCTTGTTATCTCCTTTAACCTTTAAACAAAACTCACAGAAGTGACCAAGTGGGCCACCCAGCTAGAAAGCAGCAGAGTCTGGATATGAACTCTCAAGTACGTCTAAGATATTTCTACACAATGTGTTGCTAACTCAAACGAGCATACATTCAAATCCTTGAAGCACCAGAATTGACCTAAAGGGTACCAAGCATTGAACCTAAGAGAACTCAAGAATATTCAGCAGTGTTCTGCAGTCTCTTTTATATCTGGTTTTCATAGAAATCTGCAATTATGAGAGCAACTCCTAGTAGAGGTAGGAAAAAAAAACATGCACCTTGACATCATTCTTTAGAAACTGTATGGGGTGATTCTAAATCTTTTTTAGGAATCTGATAAAAGCTATGGATCTTCTTGCCAGAGAGTTACATATAAAATTCTGCATTATTTTAGAAGGTTCAGACTCCTGAAATCCATCTACACGTTTCAATTTTAAAATTCCTATTTGATTGGACTAAGAATCAATAGAATGAGCTTAAGAAAGTGCAAACTGACACAAATAGAGTTCTTTGGAAATTGTTTTAAATGTTACCACAACTCTGCTCATGTATACGATCCTAGTTTCAGTACTTCTGATAAATCTATGGCAAGGATCTTAGAGAAGGAAAGAAAGCAGGTTTAAATGCCACCATTAATACTTACCGTTTTCCTGTACAATTATTGTCATTCAGGCCGCCAACCTTGTTTATGGCAGACCAGGCTGTGAGAGCCACATACGGCAGAGAGGCAGCTTGAGTATGAGTGAGGGATTTGGGCTTGTGAGAAACCTAGATTTGAAGACAACAGTCAAAAGTAAGCAATTATTTGTAAATCTATGAACACGATTAAGTACATTTACCTTTACAGGAATCCAACTATTTTCATAGATAAGTCTATAACATTATGCCACGCTCAGTATTTATTATATATCCTTCTTTAAGATTATCCATAGAGAGTATTCTCCAAATGACTCAAGCTACTCCTAGGGTCAAAGGTTCAATGATGTTTTATAGGCAACATTATCAGACATAGCTGCTTAATTCTTTATAAAAAGATCACATTCAATAATCCCATTAGTCCTGACTACATTCAGAAATAAATCCAAATAAACCTTGAGACCTCACAAACACATTTTAATTTGTTTTTGAGATCAGCTGTTTCCTTTACCCCCATTTACTGTAATCTTTCCAGACTTTCTCTAATCTCAGTAATACCCCTTCCCTTCCTGCCCTCCCTGCTATAGCCATTTCCTCAATGTTAACCCTTTCTCTCTATTCAAATTGTCAGGCCTCCTGACTATATTTGATTAGACTCCTGTTTTTAAAGTTATTTGAAACAGCTTGATACTTCCGTGCTTCTGTTTATAATTAATCGGTACGGTCCATTTGGTATATTTGGTTTCCACTATTTACACTGAGTAAAACCAAGAAACACAGCAGGGTTTCTAGATCTTACTCCAAATCCCTGCTTCACAAGACAAAGACACCGCTTTGGCAGGCAGTGTTATTAAATGACATCAAATGCTTTTCTAATCTTTTAAAAATTCCTATTCTCTAGCTTAGCTCTTTCAAAACTACCCGTTAAACATGAACCTGAAAAACATGAACCATGAATCTGAAAAACAACCAATTATTTCAGAGATATCTGTCAGTCTTTGTTTATCATATTTTCTGATGGTACTATATCACAGAATTGGTGAGTTACCTCATTCCCACTGACTACAACAAACTCTGAGAGAGTGCCTTGTTTCCAGGGAGGAACTGCAGCCCAGACCTGAAACAAGCACACACATACACACAAACTTCATTAGAAATAGATCTTTTTTAACCAAGGTAAGTATGAGGGTATTCCCTAATACGTAACCCATCCTGTGAAAAAAAGCACAAGTCAGCAATACACCAAGCAAAAGAGCGATTTTCACATGATATAAATGTATTACTTAGCATGATTCTGAATATATCAAGTCAAGCCATATTGGAAGCAGATGCCACTAAATCCTGCTATACTTACACTACATACTTAGAGTACCAGTAAAAATACAGTCTCTGAGGCTTGAATCCTGGTTCTACCACTAATTAGCTATGGGACCTCTTTATAGCTTCCTCATCTGTAAACTGGTCCTAACTGAACTTATCTCATATGGATTAAATGAGTTATTTTTTGAAAAGCAACCAGAACAGTGTTAGTTATTATTATGAGCTCACTTTAATTTCTTGGTATAAAAATTCGAAGGGACAGGTGATTATATCAAACTTAAGCTATTTTAAAACCATCTAGCCCATAAGGTAGAAATTGTCATTTAAAGACTCTTTCAAGAAAAAAAAAATAGTCCCAATTATACATATTCCAAAGTCTTGCAATTCTTAAGTACTAGATTTAGGAAGCTTGAGTACAGTCAAGCTAATTGACAGAACCAAGAACAGATTCTAGCCAAAGCTCGGTATATTCAATGAAAAGAAGAAAAAAGGTCAATGGTACAGACTACACTTTCAAAAGAAGCAGAATGAAATTTGCATATTTAGAAATGGAATAGCAGCATTTCACAACCCACCTCATCTCCGGGCTTGAAGTACTTCACATCAAGTCCACATTCCATCACTACACCAGAAACATCCCGACCCAGAGTCAGAGGAAATTCTTCTCCTTTGGCTTTTATATGTAAAGGATCACGTTTCATATTTAGAGCTGCAGCTCCATAACCACCTATAAAATACAATTTATCTGTTTCTTCCAAAGGAATGGAATGATTTAAAAACTACTACAGGGTTATAGGCCAGGTACAATTCTAGGTCCTCAAAATGTAGATATAAAGTAATCAACTATAAATCACACAGGAAAGCATGAAAATGAGCGTTGTTCCTTTCAAAAAATTTGGAAAATTATAATCACTTGTTAAACTAAAGCTACCATTGCTCAAAATATTGTTTAATTCCAATTCTGAAACTGTCTTCAGAACTTTCAGTGTTTTCTTTTGTACAATTTTACTTTGTTTTTTAAAGATAGTTTGTTAATTTATTCATTCATAAACTTTTTAAATAACAAAGTCGTTTGGTGAAGAAGTTAATAAACAAATAAGGTGTGGGGGTAGAATTTGATACTAACACTAGTCTTTAAGTAGTGGTCCCCACCTACCAAAAAATGTTTCTATAACATCTTTGGATTAAGTGCATAGATTCCCCAGTAGAAAAGGACCACTTGGCTGCATCTGTTCTGATATGTTAAATCAGGTTAATTGCTTTATTATACAAATCCATTTATTTTTAAGACTATTTACATAAATATTAGCTAAAGGGAGCTGAACTATTCTTCTGATCATAATTTTTTGGTTCAAATAAATTGGCTACTCTATCTACAATCATTCCAAGTAGTTTATACTACACAGCTTCAACATATAAAATGGCTTTTCTAAGACACAAAAGTATACGTAATTATCTCCTCTGCTTGACGTCTTTCTGAGAACATTTCTATGTGAGGTTCACCAAGATAGGTACCTTGCTTACCTCCTTTTCATTATGTACCACAATTTATGCTCCAGAATCACTATACCACTCTGTAAGTCTCCCCTTTCCTCACCACCCACTCTCAGGGGCTGTACAACATTAGACCTTACGGATGAGGAGAAACCAGAAAAGGAGCATGAGAAGTCTAGACCAGTAAAGAGGTTCATTTAAAGACATCAAATGCTGCTGACAGGGAAGACAGCTTTTCGAATAAAGTCAAAAGCTGTCAACAGGCTTTTAAAAAACAAAACAGAGAAACAAAAACAAAACAGAACAAAAAAGATCCAACAACACAGAGGTCTTTGGTGACCTTGATAGGTACAGTTGCTGTGTCAAGGAGTAACAAAGAATGGGAAGTGAGAAACTGGGAAACTTACCAACATTCAACTCTTTCAAACAGTTCTGTTATAAAGGGGAGCAGAGAAATGGAGAGTGGCTGGAGGGGAACAACTGAGATGGAGAGAGAATTTTTGAGTGTTATTTTTTTCTTCTCCAAAAAGAGAGAAATCTCAGTAAAGCTAATGGACATGATCTAGTAGAAAGGAAAACACTGAAGATGCAGGAGAGAATTGCTGAAATATTGCTCCCAGGTGAAGGGGGATGGAACCTAGAATCCAAGTGGAAGAGTGGCCTTAGATGGGAACAAGGACCATCTACAAGGCAGGAGGGAAGGTAGAGGATATAGGAAGAGATGCTGACAGGTGAGTAGCTTGCAGAAGTTGTTTTTCTAATAAAAAATCAAGACACATGGGAGAAAGCCTTTGAAAGTTGAGCTAGTACCAGAAAATCTAAGCTGATGGTCATCATGCCAATATTACACATTTGCCATCTGGCTAATTAGGGTTGCACTCTATTGGAGGAAAAAAAACAATTTCACATGTAATAAAAAAGTCATGTTTTACTTTTCCTGTCTTACATTCCTTTTCCATCACTAAAACACAATTAAACAATTAGTCACTGAAATTCCTATGTGTTTTAAGCAATAGAAGTGGGCATTTAGCCATGTCAAATTTTAGCAGCTATTTCAGAGCTGCAAAAAAGAATTCAGTCCTCTCTAGGTACAGAGCCTGCAGTGCAAGGTTGTTTAAAGTTTTCTTGGTTACCCTGATACACTAATGGGTCAACTGAGTAGCCCTGGCTCACTGTACTAGCTAAACTAGCCCCAAATCCAGAATGCATCTAGTAGTAACAGAATCTGCTTGATGATACAAAGGAATGGGAGCCCTTAGGAGCTTCATCTCATTGTTAGAGCTAGCCAGTTTGACTGATTCAGAGTTGGAACGACTTGGAAAATCATAAATCTGTCATCAGTTTCAAAGACTTTGATCCCATCTAAAGAAACAAAATTATTGGTATGACGCTGTTCGCTATATTTTTAATTATTAATTTCTTTATCCATTTACATAATTTAAGGTTTTATGTCCAACAATAGTGGCCATCTCCAGAAAAATAGCCTACCTTCACCTTTCAAAATAGTTATGTCCTTGCTTTCTTGTCAAGGGAAATAACTGCATCCTACGATTTATAATCGTCTCATTATTTTTTCCGTAAGCTATCATTTCAGATATCTTCTGCAACAAGAATCACACATTTTCAAAAAAGAATCCATAAGCAGGAAATAAAGAGGATAACTTGCAAATAATATTACCCAGTCAAATCATAAAAAAAACTAAGATGTCTCAAGAATACTCTATATAAAAGTTAAATGTTACAATATTTTATTATTAAACAGCTGCAAAGAAAGTTCAGATCCAGCCATTCTACTGAAATTAAAATGTACACAAAACATTCTATGCATGTGCATTCAAAGAAATGAAAAGTTAACAGATCTAAATGGAGACAAAATGTAAAAATTACTCATGAATAAAATACTGCTAATTTCAGTTTGTAATCTCAAGTTAGAATGAAAATGTAAACTGACATCAAATAATGACTGCATGACAACTACATATGTGAAATAGGTAGGTAGTAGTTGACAGAGCATGGGCTCTACTTTCAAAGAGTTTATACTCAAAAGAGATGAAAAAACACACCAATCATTGGGTGGAAACCAACTACTTAAAGACATATCGTGTAAAAACTATATTATCGTCATGCTCAAGTTAAATGGAATAAAACAACATGCCCAACTAGTAGTAGCAATCATCACTTCAAAGCGAACAAAAATACAGTAAGTCCTCACTTAACATCATGGATACATTCTGCAACTTTAAGTGAAATGATGTATTAAAAAAACAATTTTACCATAGACTGATATATACAAGAGTTAAGTTCTTGGTGCATTTTATCAATGTTATAAAGGACCAGTGCTGAATGAAACAACAGTATTTGAGGACGTGCTATACAAATGTTGATTTCATGAGGCATTCATAGTAAATCATTTCAATTTCTTCTTAACAGAGCTTTCTAGCTACAAACCATTTAAGAGTCCAAGTCCTTCCCCAAACTCCTTTCCCACAAAGAAATGTGTAATAGATATTCTTCACATTGTCTTATCAGCACTGTCCAAAAAAATATTATGCAAGCCACACACGTAATTTAAAATTTTCTAATAGCCATTAAAAAAGCAAAGAAACAATGAAATTAATTTTAACATTTATTTACTATATCCAAAATATTATCAGATCGCTATGCAAACAAAAATTATTGAGATATTTTATATTGTTTTCCTCACTGTCTTTGAAATCCAGTGTGTATTTTACATTAAGTGCACATCTCAATTCAGACCAGCCACATTTCAGTTGCTCAAAAGCCACATGTGGCTAGTGGCTACTATATTAGACAACTAGTGGCTACTAGATTTCACTAAGTTAAAAACAGCAGCATTAAAAATTAGAGTCAAAAGACCTAAAGACAGTAAAACTGGACTTTACTTCCCTAATCCAGCTGTTCTCCAAGTTTTTATGTCCCCAAGATCTTCCTGAGCAGTCTAAAAGTTCCTTTCTTTCCCAACTACCTGTTAGGCTACCTTTTCTTCATTTACTTCAAATCACTTATTATGACTGAACACAGAAATATATTCATGAAGATCCAGTTATTTTATTAAACCAGAAAGTAAAGAGATACATAAAAGTGTAAACAATACTACTCTTAGCACTATTTTTTTTCTTATTTGGCAAATAGTTATTTTTCATTACAAGCACTTAGATCCTATGCTCTATCAATTACCTGTTCCAGTGCTTCACATATGTAGTTGTCCCTGTTATTTTTGTTATTTTATATTTTTATCCTGATTTAATTTCGTGATGTTAACACAAGTTTACTATATTTTGAAATGAATTAATAAGTATTTTTAAATATCTGTTCTAACTTCTAATAAGGTAGACAGTCATAGCTATAACTCACATCAACAAAAGCCCAATAATTAACAACGTAAAGAGATCTTAAGACAAAAAAATTTGAGAATTGCTGTTCTAATTTATCACACAACCCCTAGAAACAAAGAGGAAGAAATGAAGTCAAAGTATCAACACTTTATTTTTTTATATATTCCACTACATAATTCATTCCTATCGTTACTTAATTTTGTAATTGGATATGTCTGAACAACGAAATTTACTTCATCACACATAGCTCACATACAATTGCTTTTGCAATCTGATAAGTAGAACTGTAGGTCTACACACAAGGCCTTCAAAACACAGACACGTGATTAAAACACATATGGCAGCTTACTTAGAACACTGAGATTAACCAATCATCCAAGATGTTTTCTGATGTTTTCAGAAGAGGTAGATGAGTTCCCATAAGCAATATTTTTGTCATTTTCCAAAGTTAAAGTAATTCACAAACAGTAATCTTTTCAGCACTATAATAATTGCATACTATATATAAGAAATACAATGCTCTTCAAGTTCTGTCAATATATCCCAGAAGAAATTAAGATGATAACATCATTCCCACTTAAAATGGAACAAAACAGAAAGGTGTATTTTAACTGCCCAGAGCAGAATGCAACAAGCAGAAATGAGGAAAGGACTGTGGCATTCTGTTCTGATGCTTTGTCCTCTGGACCAATAAAGCAAGCTGCGAACAGTGGAAAGTAAAAAAATCATAAAAATGCAAATTCTCAACTGATGTAAAAATATAACCATACCTCTAAAACCCGTGATGGACTTCAGAATATCACAAAATTCCGAAGAGAGTACCAGAAAGTTAGCTGTGGGCACAACTCTCAAATCCCAATTTGCACTCTAAGGAAGCATGGAAGCAATTCAAACTTATATTTCGTAAAAGATTAAAGTATCCTGGGCATTACAATTTCAAAAATTTTGGAAATACCTGCTGAGATACTGTCAAAAAACCTAAACAATTCCTTTGTTAACCAAAGAAGTGTAGTCAAATAATAATTGATCTTGTAAAACTGATTCTCTGATGAAATTCTCTGGAACTAAAAAAGCAAAAAATGAACGAATCTTTCGAAAACTTACTTCTCATATTAACATCTATAGGATTTACACTCGCGGCGTGAACTTTGATAATGACTTCATTTGGATAGTGTATGATAGGTATCATCATGTCCTGGGTAAATCGAAGCACTTCATTCTTCCCATATTTATCTATCACCCAAGCGGGCATGACAGTGTTCCTTGGAGAGGTAGTACTAATCTTTCTAACTGAAGGCTTTGGTACAGCTTGGCTTCTCCTAAAGCAAACCATAGTACATGCCTTTCTTCTAAGTACACAGGTCTTTAGAAATTCCATCGTAAACGTGTGATTGAGTTGCGTGCCCTAATTAAAATGCACTTGGATTAAATTTTCTCCCCTGAATTCCGTCAGATTCTGCCAGACGCAGTGGCCAATTTCAAAATTGAGAATTTAAAAATGAAGTTAGCCTAGTGGGGCAAATGATGGAAGAAGGAGAGGAAATTATCGGGCACTTCGTATCGAAATGCTCCAATTAATGTTCAGGTCAGTATTCTGTCCATTCTCCTCCCCTCCTTACACAGCCCCCCCCTCCCCGCCCCCTGAAAACAAAAACAAAACCCTAGAACTCTGCCCTGTCTCTGGGAAACTCGGCAAGACCAACTGATTCCGCTCGCGATCCGGCCGCCACAGAGCTTCAGACGATTCCAGATTCCTGCGGCAACCTTATCCAGGAGTCTCTTTGCCATCCGCGCTCCTTCGCCGCGGGAACTTGCCTTGGGGCGCCAACCAATCGCGTGCAAGGATCATTTCCTCGGACTGCAGTTCAACCAATCTAAGTACTCAGTGCTGAAAGGTTCAGTGACGACCAAAGATGGCTGCGCCCATGTAATACCGGTAGCGGCTGTTGACCTTTCCTTTTCCTCCCTGTCACCTGGCCCCTGTGGTGGCAGCCTGGACACCAGGACCATGCTGGGCCGGAGCCTCCGAGAAGTGAGTGGAATTGGCTGCTGAGGGCCCAGGGAGGACGAAAGATTCGCGGAGCCCGTGAACAAGGAGTCCCCAGGCCTGAGCACACATCGCAGTCAGCTTCGCCGCCTCCTTCCCTGGAATTGGGTGGGGAATTAGGACTTTTGGTTGCCTAGGTCGTACTCTCCATTCTGGTTCTCGAGTTAGGACCTCAGCAGGGGAGACTTCTGCATCGTGGAGCTGTGAGTTGGAAGTGTACACCGGCTTCTCAATTAGACGTTTGCTCAGGCAGGGTCAGGCCCCAGTGGTCTCTTAAAGTGGGCTTCTGCCAGAAAAGAGGGGTTTTGCTGGTCCCTTTCAGTTTCCCAACATTCATCTGATGCAGTTCTAAAGACCCCAGCAACTCTGTCCCTTGCAATAGCCAAAGTAATGACATTTGGCTTTTTTTCCCTATTGATAATGTTCATTCTCTAGACTTCAACTACCACTGATACCGATGATTTCTTTACCCTTGTCTCTGTTTCTTGGACATTATTTTTTAACTCTAGGCTATATTTGTGAATGTCGTCTGGGCATCTCTTCCAAATGTCCCATAAGCACCTCAAACTCAATTTAACCAAAGTTAACTTCATCATTGTAACAGGAGCACCTCTTAACTCTCAACCTACATCTTAAAAAACAAACCAAAACCTGATTTCTGAATTCTTAAGTCTCTTCATAATAATGGAACAACTGTTATCCTCGTTGCCCTTAGATTCCTCCTCACCTATCATATCCAATAAATCACTAACCCTGTTAATTCTGTCATGAAATTACGTCTGGAATCTGTTCTCTTGCTTGAGCCTTCTGTTAGAGCTTTAATTCAGGTATCCTTGCTTCCTGTCCTAGATCGCTGAACCTTTTTAACTGTCTGCAGGCCCACTGCTATCAGAATCACTTTGGGCCCTTGTTAAAACTACAGCTGTGTCTCATGGAGCAGATCTGTGTGTGAGGCCTATAGTATATGGTTTAACCAGGACTCCAGATGATTCTGCTGATAAGTAGGGATTGAGGACTTACCCTGCCTTCTGTCTTCACCTGAAAAGTCTATTTTTTTTTCTTTGCCAGCTGGCAGCCTTTTAGAAAGCTATAAATTATAATGAGAACTTTTTAAGCCAAAGGCCTTAAATAATAAATAATTATTCCCCAAAATAATTATTTTTTTACCATCTTAAATTGCATCTGGCCTATAATGTCAGTAAAGAATCCTGTTCTTTAAAAAAATCAAAAACTTATTTTAAAATGAAATACAACCTAAAAAATATGGTATTTTCTTTTTCTGCCCTTTTCCCCTTCAGTGCCACCCCTTCCTGAATGACTGTTTAATCTCACTGTCCTCAGGGCCACCCGCAGTGCAACCACATTTAGGGGAACTGATCTAAGAGTAGACAGGAGGTTGACTTTGCATTGTTATTTTCACTTAATCGCACCTTTAACAAATATTTGATACCTACTGTGTGCAAAACATTATTTGGTGGTTATTTTCCCAAGGCAAAATATTATCTTCTGTCCACTTTATATTTTTTCCCCATCATTGTACTATTGCCCCAAATTTTATCTGAGATTAATTTAGTACACATTCTATTTTAATTATGTAAAGATGCCTAGAAAGTTTAAATGACTTGTTCATCTATTGTTGTAAATTATAATAGTTCAGTTGTTTTCTCTCATTCATCACACCCTTAATTGAAGAGGTAATTGAAGAAAGGGAAAATTTGCTGAGGACCAGATTAAGAAAGGCTGGAAACTGGAGTTTTGAGGCAATTTGGGGGACCTAAGTTGAGGCTTAGGGCAACAGAGAAGCCCTGGGAGGAAGCACTAAAAGGAGGTAAAGTGCCAAATAAAAGGTAAAACTCATTTGTAAATTTTACCCAGGTATGTTCAGGAAAAGGGAAGTCTTTTACTTTCCTTTTTTGTGGGATGATCCCAGTGTGTCTAAAAGCCAGATGCCAGGCTAATATTATTAATCCTAAAGTTTAATTATATACCCAATAGGCTTCTTGGGGGTCTAGCCTAAGAACATTTAATTATTGTTCTATGGGAAAATCGATTCCAAATTTTAAACAACTCAGTTATTCATTCAGCTAACATTTATTGAGCACCTCTTTGTTCCAGACACTGGGGATTAGCATTGAAGACAGACGGTGGCTCCTGCCCTCATGAAACCTGTAGTTTTGTGGGGAGACAAGCATTAAATAAGTTTTCTTAAAGCAAATTATATGATTTTATATAATAGTAAGTGCTACGAAGAAAAATTAAGCAGGCTATAGGTTGGGGATGCTGGATGTTTTAGATAGAGTGGTCAGAGAAGGTTCCTCTGATTGCTGGGTTTGGTTTAATAGAATGACCTGATTTAAAATTTTAAAAGCTCCTTCAGGCTACTCTTAAAGATTATAGTTTAAAGCAGTGATCCCCAACCCCCTGGACGCAGACTGGTACCGATCTGTGGCCTGTTAGAAACCGGGCTGCACAGCAGAAGGTGAGAGTCAGGCCACCAAGCGAAGCTTCATCTGTATTTGCAGCTACTCCCCAGCACTAGCATCACCACCTCAGCTCCACCTCAGAGCATCAGGCATTAGATTCTCATGGGAGCTCTGGTCTTGGTGCCAAAAAGGTTGGGGACCACTGGTCTAAAAGAAAGTGAGGAAGTAGGAAGATATATCAGAAGGCTGTTACATTGACAAGAGATGATGGTAGAATAAATAAGGTGATGGGAGTAGAAGTAATGCAAAGTGGGTATTGTATTTTAAGTTAGGGCTTGCCAATGGATTGGATACAGAGTTTAAGGGAGCAGTTGAGGAAATAGTAACATTTATCAAGCTGGGAAAGACTAAAGGGAGCATATTTGTGATGAGAAGGTTATCAAAATTTCTATTCTGGGTATGGTATTGTTGAGATGCTTCCTAGGTATCCAAGTGAGGATGTCAATAAAGCAGTTGTTTGTAGGAGTGTGGAGATCAAGAAAAAGACTAGGTATGAAGCTATAAATTAGTGACAGTATAGAAGATAATTAAAGCTATATGGCCAGATGAGATCACTTAGGAAGTCGAGTGTGAGAACAGAAGGCCTAAAACTTTCCAACATTAAGAGGTCAGCAATAAGGAACAGAACCAGCAAAGGAGACTTGAAGGAATATCTAGTAAGGCAAGGAGAAAACAAGGAAGGCTTAGTGTCCTGAAATAGAAGTGAAGAGGCGCTTCAAGGAGGACGTGATCTCATGATGAATGCTGCTGTACTGAGCGGTGAGTACTAGATTTAGGAATGTGGAGGTTGCTGGTGATCTTGACATGCTATTTTTTGGACCAGTGGAGACAACAGCATGAATGTTAAGTGAGTGTGTTAAAGATGGTACCAGTCAACTGGACACTCAGTCCTCAAGGGCTCTCCTATACTTGCAGCATTTATCAAGACATTTTTATTTAAAAACAGTTCTTTTCTTAAGTGAATCTTAGATGCTCTCTGAAAAGTTAAGAAAATATTCTCCACTTTGTTACAGAGCAGTAAATGCTATGACATCTTGCATTAAGAAGTAGTTGAGTCTGGTGGTCCAGAGCACGTGCTTTGGAAGGAAGATCGGGCCTCGGCTAAATCCCAGCTCTGCTACTTTCTTGCTGTGTGATTTCAAGCAGAAACTTCAGTCATTTATCTGTAAGATGGAAATAATAGCCCTTTAGTGTAGATGTAAAGATTAATTGAAATATAACGTATCTAGGATAATGCCCAGAACTAAGAGCTATTATTAACACTAATTTTATTACAGAGACAAAATTACTAGATTATATGTATTTACAATTTTCTCTTCCCCTGGTTTCTAAGAAAAGTGGTTCCTGAGGAAGTCTCCTTAATTTTTCCAAGAAGGTATGTTACTTTTCTGTTGCTGCATAACAAATTAGTATAAACTTTTTGGCTTAAAAGAACACAATCTTTAAAAAAAAAACATAGTTTTATCACCTTGCAGTTTTGTAGGTCAGGAGTCCAGGAATAGAGTAGCTGGAGTCTCTGCTCAAGAGTCTTACAAGGCTGAAATCAAAATGTCAGCCAGGGCTGCAGTTTCATCTGAAGCCTCAGGATCCTCTTTCAGCCCCAGTGGTTGTTGGCAGAATCTATTTCCTTATGGTTATAGGACCGAGGTTCCCATTTTGTGGGTAGTAGAATAAACTTAGGGGTCAGGAGATGTGGAATAACTAGAATTGAATATTGAGAGGTTATACAGACAGATAATGATGATGACGTAGTCTGGGCTATGACCATGTTAGTTGGCAGCTGGGGTGAAGTGAAGGAGATGTTTGTGTGAAGTGAGGTCGGAAACTGAAAGGCCAGGTGTCAGTGCATATGACTTGAAGTTTAAAGTCAACAGGAGCCATTTTAAAGAAGATTATAGTGAGCTAGCTGCTAAAATCTTCAATGAATGGCAAGGAGTACAAGGAAACTAGATTAACACACTAGGGAGAGTAGTATAATGTCCTTCAAGTGCCTGTGCTTCAGATGAGTTGGAGTTTTTGAAAGAAGAGGAAAGAGAAAGCCCTCGAGGAATGAGGAGGACCCCTGCCTGCACATTCTCCCCTTCCCCACTGGCCTCTATGGTACATGGTAGATAGGAGCTAAAACGGCCATCCCTTGAGAAAGCTGGAGAAGAAGTGATGGCCTCATGGAAAAGCCTAGTTTCTATTAGAGAAAAGACATGCCAGGGAGAGAGAATTTGTTTTTTAACAAAAACTTTCGTTAAAAGTTTGATTTCATCTTATATTCAGATATGACACTTTTAGTTTTATCCCAGAGAGCTATACTGTTTATATCTCATACTCCTTATGCTCAGTCCATTCTAGCTAATTAGCATCTTTGTTTTCATTTCTCTTCTTCAATTCCCTTACTGATTTTCTCAAACCTCGATTTCCTAAAAATGGTCCTAATGAAGATCACCATTTAAAATGAGTGCTTCTAAGCGCTCTCATTTCTTGCCCTTGTAACCACAACTATAACTCCTTACCTCTTATTCTCATACCACTTGGCAAGTCAGAAAGCAGCTCGAGGATAGTGGGCATTAGGGGACTTGAGGCAAAGAAGGAAAGTGGCAGACATAATTTTCTTATTTTTTGCAACTGTGCCATGGGATACCTCTCTGTCTCTCTAGCTTTCGGTTTTTGCTAGTTCTGACTCTTGCACCCAGCCTACCACTGTCTTCTTTCTTCTCACTCCATATTTACAATGTTATGATACACTGCTATCTTTTATTTCTCTTCAGATCCTTTCTTCTAAAGAGGATTTCATACAAACTGTTGAACAAAAGTATCTCTTCTTGTTTACCTCTTTTAAGGCACACCCAGCTGCCCCTCCCCATCATCACTCCCCCAGCCTCCCCATGCCAGTTTTTTCCACCTCTTGTCCATCAGCATCAGGGGTCTTCTCAATGGCCTGTTCCCACAGCTTTTCTCATTTAAAACCCTCGGCCCTAAGAATACCACTGCTATGATGATTTATTCAACAGCTAACAGCAGATCATTTGCAGATTTTCCTTGAAATGTAAACTGTTGCTTGATGTATATAGGACATATGAAAATACATTCAGCTTAGAGGACAAACTGAGTTTCCACTAGGGCAGAGAGAAATGGCGAAGGAACATTTTAAGAAGTTACCTCTACCCTTTATTATTTGTGTGACTTTGGACAAATCACTTAAGTTTCTTCATCTCTAAAATGATGTTAACAGTACCTAACTTCTGTGGTTGTTTAAAGGGTTAAGTGAAGTAATAATGCATATGAAGCCAACAACAGTACTTGGCTCTTGGTAATTAATAAATATTGCTTCTTCCCCCACACCCTTGTTTCTGAGCTCCCATCTTATCCAACTCTCTTTTCATATTATCTCCAAAGATTTGGTATTATCTTTGACTTCTTGTTATTTATTCCTTTTGTCTGATAAGTAAGTAGTTATTACTTCCTGTAGGAAGTATTATCACTTTACTTCAGGCTTCACTTACTAGTGATTTACAGGTTCTGATCACTTGTCCTGCAGTCTATTTTAATGCTTTCTTTACTAGCCTTCCTAATGCAGCAAAGATAGGATTTCAGAAAAGTATGTTTTTAGTTTGTTTTTGAACCTGTATTTTATAAGCATTTCTCAATTCATAATGGTTTTTGCTTAAATTCTATAATAGATATAAAGGTCTATTTAATAAAGGTCATTTATTTAGAGCTATAAAGTCCCGTAATGCCTTATCTACTTCATTTCTCTCTCTTTTTTTTTTTTTTTTCACTATGGACTAAGCTACTCTATGTACACAATCTACCCTGACCAATGCTTCACCTATGCTGGGCCTCTACTTTTCATAGACAGAGTGGCTGACCTAAATCACAGCTCTTGTTTGTTCAGGGCTGACTTAGAAAAAAAGTTACTTAGCTAAGGCTATGAATGTGGTGTCCTTCAACCCATCTTCAAGCTGATCAATGTGGTGCTCCCTTGTTCACTACACTAAGTGTGGAGTTGATAGGTTCTCTTGGTTTTTAAATCCAAGCCTTACTTCAAAATTTTGTACTTAACCACTCCATCTGCCGACCTCAGCATAAAATTTGAAACTTCTGCAGACTCAGCAAAGAGTTTTTGAATTGTATATAGGTTTCTGCGGCACTGAAACAAGGCCAAATTACTCCAACCGAGCTCTGTCAAAAATGTCTCTCCCTTATCAAGAAGACCAAGTTTCTAAATGCGTACATTACTGTATCAGAAGAGGTGGCCTTAAAGCAAGCTGAAGAATCAGAGAAAAGATATAAGAAAGGTAAATTACTTTGAATTATGCTTAATTGTTATATCCCTAGAGATAGAGAGCTTAATTGAATGTAGTAGTCTCCATTTGGTAATTAATCTTTCAATATAAAACATTCCCTTATTTAAAGAACTTGCTATGAGGTATAATAAAAATAAGGTGATTGGATATATGATACTTTATAATGTCCAACTATATTACTTTCTAATGTAAATTTGATTTCTGAAGAAGTATCTTTACAAAAAACTAGTAGGTATTATAACTAATATTAATGTGTCTTTTTATTTTGAACTAGATATATCTTCTATTCTTTTGGCTTTTTATCGCAGGTCACTCACTTGGGGATTTAGATGGAATTCCTGTTGCGATAAAAGACAACTTTAGTACATCAGGCATTGAGACAACATGTGCATCAAACATGCTGAAAGGTAAAGAGTGACTGATAAGAGCATTAATAGTTTTATAAAAATGAGCATTTTTCACTTTAAGTTAAAGATAAGATACTAAAGCACCAAGATATTCTCAGATTGATATCTGTAAAGGAAATACTTAGGATGTAATATTTCCTTTTTACTATTTGCTCTTTCAGAATGCAAAATTATTCTTTAGAGTTAGTCCAGCTTAATGGATGAATCCTATTTAGGAAGTTTTAGTAATCTTAGGAAGACTTATTAACTGATCACGGCAGACACACTAAGTGACTCTTACTCCCATTGATAATGGGAGTAATTATGAAGTGGCTGTCATCACCCCTCTCTTGAGGATAGTGTGAGGATTCATTAGCATCTACTGTCTTGTTAGTTTTCATTTCTCAACTCCTCTACCTCTTATATCACTATGCTGAGTATAGTAATGCTTAGTTTTATTCTTTACAGTTTAGTGGGTCAAAAGAGAATTATGTTTATTAAGATGTTTGGATCCTAGGAGGAAAATGAAGTGGAAATAGGTTATTCAGAGTACTACACACTAAAAGTAATATTCTGAGATATGCAGCACAGGTTTCCCTGATAGGTAGACTATTGTTAATTGTTTTGGAATATATACTAGATAGAAAAAATTTTAATTGACAATAAAAATCTACTTCTGATTGGAAAGGGATGAAAATCACTGTGATATAGCATCATCTGAGAAGAAAGCCAATTATAATGAGTAAAAATATGATTTGTGATTCGTTTCAAATGAATGGGGTACATCTCTGACTGTCATTCAAAATTTTGTAGTACTAACAAAGTCAGTGTTTTTAGATTATAAAAATAGTGAATATATAGACTGTCTTTGGAAAACATAGCAGTTAGCAGTGGAAAAAAGTAACGGGAAAAAGTACAACCCACTAATCAAATGAGAAATAATTAACACATGTCAATACAAATTGCTTAATTGCAGTTTAAAATCTTGTTTCTTGAATATGATTTACATGTTCACTGTTTTCTCTCCTGTAATAAAAATAACTGAACTTTTTTCAGGTTATGTTCCACCTTATAATGCTACAGTAGTTCAGAAATTGTTGGATCAGGGAGCTCTACTCATAGGAAAAACAAACTTAGATGAGTTTGCTATGGGGTAAGTAAAAATGTTCTTTTCTTGTATTTCTTCCATCTATCTTTAATTTCATTAAATGCAGATACCTAAAAATAGTGAGGTGATTTTTTTGGTTTCTAGGTGATATTATGTTCTGTTGTCTAATAGGTATATGATCATATCTCATTTTGGTATTAGTTTGCATTTTCCTGATGATTAACAATGTTAAACATCATATGTTTGCTTTGCCACCATATATCTTCTTTAGTGAAGAATCTATTTAAATCTTTTGCTCCCCAACCTTTTTCTTTATTGGGTCATTTGTCTTCTTATCGAGTTGTAAGAGTTCTTTCATATATTCTGGAATCAAGTCCATTCTCACTCAGGTGATTTGCAGATATTTTCCCCGAAGCTCTGGCTTGTCTTTTTATTCTGTTGGCACTTAGTTAATATATATTGAACAGATTAGTCCGTGGGAGTAAACTCAAACATAAGTTATTAGGACAGTACTTTGAACAGCTGATCAAAATGAACATCACTAGTGAGGGTGGAGTAGACATCGTGTACTGCCAGATGTGATTCCTGAAGAGGAACACACCATTGTCTCTGCAGTATTACAGCTGAGGATGTGTCACCTGAAGCTAATAATAAAGAAACAAAAGACATCTGAAATGAGCAGTCTATTAAATTTTCAATATCAAAAAAAAAAAAGAAAGAAAAGCTGTGAAAATGTTCCAGATTAAAAGAGGCCACAGAATGTAAAACTTAAAACTTACAGAAGAAAATGTAGAAGAAAATCTTTACAACCTTGAGTTAACCAAAGATTTCTTAGGACATATAAAGTACAATCTATAAAATAAAAAATTAATAGATTGGACTTCATTAAAATGAAGAATTTCTGTACTTTACACTATTAAAAAACGAAAAACAAGCTATAGACTGAGAGAAAATATTTGCAAAACATGTGTCTGAGAAAGAACTGGTAAAATATATAAAGAATTCATTCAACCCAACTCGATAAGAAAACTACTCATTTTTTTAAAAAATGGGTAAAAGATGTAAGCAGACATTTTATTAAAGAAAATACACAGTTGGCACATAAACACATAAAAAATGCTTAACATGATTAGTCATTGGGGAAATGCATATTAAAACCACAACGAGATACTTCTAAACCTATTAGAATGGCTTAAAAATGGCAATACCAAATGCTGACGAGAATTCAGAGCAATTGGATATCTCATACAATGCCAGGAGAGAATGCAAAATGGTGTGGCCACTTTGGAAAATAGTTTGGCAGTTTTTATAAAGTTAAACATCACTTACCATGTGATCCAACAATCTCAGTCCTAAGTATTTACCCAAGAGATGAAGACTTAAATGTTTATACAAAAGCACTGGCTAGAGCCTTTCAGTACAATATTTATTGTGGCTTTATTCAGATTGCCAAAAACTGAAAGTAACTCAATGTCTGTTGGCTGGTGAATGATTAAAAGTAAAAAAAAGAGGCTAAAGAGACAACCATAAATAAATGTAATACCTGACTCTAGACTTGATCCTGTACTGAGAGAGTGTAAATGCTATAAAGGACATTAGATCAGCTGAAAAAATTAGATTACATACAGTATATTAAAATATTGATGTTAAATTTACTGAGATTGATAATTATACTATGACTGTATAAGAGAATACCCTTAGTCTTAGGAAATACATACTGGATACATACTAAAGTAGTTAGGGGTAAAAGGCCATAACAATATAATTTACCCTTAAATGGTTCAGAAAAAAAATATATATGTGTACAGACACACACACACCACACAATGATAAAATATATGAGGTAAAATGTTAATAGGTGAATCTGGATAAAGGGTGTAAAGTACTTTTCGCACTATTTTTATTTTTGTAATTTATCTGTAAGATTGAAATTATTTCAAAATTTTAAAAATGTTATTAGCATTACACATACAATGCTTTTCTTAAAACTTCTGATTAAAAGAGGCATTCCTTCAAAAAACTTCTTGATGACTGAATGTTTATGACACTTTTCAACTGGAAGGCTTTAATTTACAAGGGAAATCATCTTAAGCTGAATTAGATGATCAGTTGGGATAAAAGCCTTTCTTAGCAGACTAGCTTTCTCCACTTTCTACCACAAATGCTCTTCTCATCTTCTTCCTCCTCAACCATCTAATTAAAGAAAGCTACATCTAATCAGGCTTCCTACCTTCGTCAATTCAACTTACAGTGGGTTATACAGTGTCGGAAGCAAATAATAATCAAGAGATGAAAATTTCACATAAAATGAAAGTTTTATTAAGTATCTTGCTTTACTTCTTCATCTCAGAAGTGGAAGCACAGATGGTGTATTCGGACCAGTTAAAAACCCCTGGAATTATTCAAAACAATATAGAGAAAAGAGAAAGCAGAAGCCCCATGGTGAGAATGAGGATTCAAATTGGCTTATAACTGGAGGAAGCTCAGGAGGGAGTGCAGCAGCTGTATCAGCGTTCACATGCTTTGCGTAAGATGCTTTTTCCATCTGTACTTTAAAATCCAGCCCAATAAAAATAATCATAAGCCATAGGCAAAATCCAACAATAGAGAAGTTCATACCATGGTATTTTTATTTCTTTTTAGTGAGCTATTTATGCTCAATGGTATATCAAAATTATATCTTATAAATGTATTCACTTATACAAGACACGTATGGTGTATTTTATACATTTAACTTTAAGATAACGTTTAAGCTCTTCCTCTGTGGTATCTGGTTCTCTTAAAAACATGACTTTATTAATCTTGCAGAATAAACCAGTTAGCATAAATGAACTTCATTGGATTTCATTTTTTAAATAGTTTATTAGGTTTAGGTGTCTGCTTACTGATTGTACAAATATTTAAGGACTAACATACCATGGCTTTAGCTGAGTGCTGCTTTACTAAATTGTTAGCTATAGTTTATCCTTAGGCTAAATCTAACTTTTGAAAAAAAAAAAAGAAGGAAAGGAATGAAAAAAATGTTCCCAATATGTATCAATAGGATACTTATAATCGTGTTTTTATCAATCTGCAACTAAAAATGTATATCAGTAAGTAAAGGTTTTTCAAGTTTGTAAGGAGCTGATTTGTTCAACTGTCATACTTTGTATTTGGAAAGCATCAATCATGCTTTATGTCTTGAGTCCGATTTGTAAATAAATATTGCTGTTGTTATGTTTATCTCTCTTAATTAGCCACTGAAACTAAGTTCTTTCACAGTCACTGCAAGCAATAAATTATTTATATTTTTTAGAGCTATGGAGATTTAGATTCTACAGATTTTTTTTTTTTTTAGTTTCCCTGAAATCTTAACAAGTAAGGCCATGTCATTTTATCTCTGTGAAATTTTATAGTACTGTATTAATATTAATGAGAGTTCTGACAAGTTAGGACTGCAAAATTAGGTGCTTTTTTTTCTATCCTCATCACCCCACTTAGTGTTCATCTTTCTGAATGTGCTTTGAGAAGATGGCATTTTGACACATAATTCCGATGGAAATGTAAGTTTTACTTTTACACAGCCATCAGTGAATCCTAATAAGAAAATGTATCCTTTTTGAAATTGTGAAAGCATCAGTCTGATTTCGTGGCTCAAATGAACTTGGTAAGAAAGGCAATCCAATTTGCATTTTCCATAGACCGCAAGGGCCATGTGACTGGTAGGAGCCTTATTCAGTTTCGCTCTGGATGTTGTCAAGAGAAGCACAGGCCCAAACTAACTCCAGATTGAATGGGTCCCAAACCATCAAGTGTTCTGCTTTGATTTCTCCCCTTTTGGTTCATTTCTTTTATAAGAGTTTTAAAAACAGGAAAATTCTTGAAATACTATGCACATGGAAAAATATCCAAGATACACTGTTAAGTGGAAAACAAGTTGCAAAGTAGTATGTATAGTATGATCTTATTTTTGTTAAAAGTGATAATTACATACATATATATGTTAGTTGCATGGAAGTATCTGGATGAATGTATATAAAAATTGATAACTGGATTTTTATGGGGACAGTAATTATAAGAGAAATTTCACTTTGTTTATCATATAATTATATAATTAATTTTTGCAGTAGGCCTGTACACTTTTCTAATCAGTAAAACCTTTCTTCTGAAATATTTTTTAAAATTGTTAATTGTGGTAAAATATAAATAACAAGATTTATCATCATAACCATTTTTAAGGGTATGGTTTAGTAGTATTAAATATATTCACATTGTCGTGCAACCAGAAGAACTTGTTTTATTTGCAAAACTGAAACTCCATACTCATTAAACAACAGCTTCCCATTTGCCTGTCCCCACAGTCCCTGTCAACCATTCTACTTTCTGTCTCTATGAATTTGACTACTCTAAGTATCTCATATAAGTGAAATTATCAGTATTAGTGCTTTTTTGACTGACTTATTTCACTTATCATAATGTCTTCAAGGTTAGTTGTTTGTTTGTTTTTTTTACTAAGAAAAACATATACTCTATAAGTGGGCAAAGAAATGAACAGACACTTTATAATTGGGTAATGTAAACACAAATAAATATGAAAAGTTATTTAAAAATGCACAGTAACAAAGCTTTTTAGTTATCAGATTAACCATATTTTAAGAACTGCTAGTACTTAGTGATGATAATGAAACATTAAACACAGTCTGATTCACTGCAATTGGGATTATAAATTGGCATAACCTTTCTGACGAGTAATTTGACAGTATATATTAAGAACTTATAATAACGTTCAGACACTTAGGCCATTAACTCTACTTCTTGGAAGCTAGCCTAAAAAATAATCAGATATATGAGCAAAGACTTATATTTAAAGGTGTTTATTACAAAGTAATTTGTCATGTAGTTATCCTAGATAGCAACAACATAAATGTTTAAATCAATTAAAGTACATTTTTATATGTGATTCTAAATGGAGTAGCAGAAGGGCTGTACCTGAATTTCTGAGAGGGGTGTGTTTAGTTGGTAAAAGCATACTGTAAAATTGCCATTAAAGAATATATAAGAATTATATGTATATTGATAAGAAAATGGACTTTAAAATACTGGGAATTACCAATTGATATGATAGAATATTAAACATATTTTGAATTTTAATGACATGATAAAAGGCTCATGATAAGCAAAAAAGAGATGGAAACTTAAGATATAGAATGACCTGAACTATGAAAGAAAAATGCATTTTAAAAAAGACTTGAAGTTAGTATTCCAAATGTTAAGTATTTGCCTCAGGATGATAGAATATTTCGTCACCTTTTACCCTTTGCTATATTTTAAGAATTCTTTGAGACAATCTTGTTTTACTTTTGTATAATCAGGGGAAAATACAGTTTATATATATATATATACACACACATATACATATAGAATGACCTGAACTATGAAAGAAATATGTATATATACATATACATATGTATATATATATATATATATTTAGAAAGGTAGATTCCAAATATAATTAGAAATATGTTATTTCTCTAAAGAGAATTCCATTTAAATTCCAGGGCTTTAGGATCAGATACAGGAGGATCGACAAGAAATCCAGCTGCCAACTGTGGGGTTGTTGGTTTAAAACCAAGCTATGGCTTAGTTTCTCGTCATGGTCTCATCCCCCTGGTGAATTCAATGGATGTGCCAGGAATCTTAACCAGATGTGTGGATGATGCAGCAATTGTGTTGGGTATTTATATGATTCCATATAGTTTCAAAATAATACAGTTTCACTCTAAAACAATATGTCTGTCACTCAAGAGTATTTTTCCTTACAGGTATACTGGCTGGGCATGACCCCAAAGATTCTACCTCAGTACAAGATCCTGTTAAACCATTTATGCTTCCCAATTTGACAGATTTGAGCAAATTATGTATAGGAATCCCAAAGGTAACTCTTTCCTTTCATTACTTTACAGAAAAACTGTCAAGTCAAATATGGAGTGCAGACTTGGGAAACAGACCTGCTCTGCCGCTTTTATTAGCTATGTGACCTGATCACATGGCTTAATCCTTCTAAGCTCAATTTCCCTATCTGTAAAATGGGGATAATAACAATATTGATCTTAGTGATGAGGTTTGAATTAGATAATCACCATGGGGATGTAATGTAAAGCATGGTGACTGTAGTTAATAATACTGTATTGCATATTTGAAAGTTGCTAATAGAGTAGATCTTAAAAGTTCCCATCACAGGGGAAAAAACCTCTAGGTATAGTGACAGATGTTAACTAGACTTATTGTGGTGATCATTTCTTCATACATACAGATATTTAATTATATTATACCTGAAACTAATATAATGTGGAATGTCAATTATATCTCAATAAAAATAATTAGATAATCATGTTAAGCAGGGATCTATAAACTTTTTCTGTAAAGGGTTAATTAGTAAATATTTTAGGCTTTGTGGTCCATACAGTCTGTATCACAAATATTTAA